CACACAAGGGCTTGGGCTGCAAAACCACTGACAGCTTTTGGCACCTTAACCTGGTTTTGTAGAGACTCTTGTGTGAGTTGCAGCCACAAGAAGTGAACAGAACAAGTCAGCACTGGAATGCAGTACGGTACTGCTGTTCGTTAAATGTGCTGCAGCCAGGGGATGCTTGCCACTCAGTTAAATCTGAAATAATTTCACTAGTCTGTTCATTTTAGCAAGCTACCTAAGCAAGAGCTGAGTTACCTTGGGTTGTTTACAGAACTTTGTAGTCTTCTGATGGATCATCTAAAATTAGAGCAGAATTTAATTAATTGATTTTTGTCTCAGAAACATAAGGGACAGCCAGCAGAACATCACAATTTACCACTGCTACTTTGATATCTTTTGCCTTCGTGTTGGAAAATATATGGGATGATGAAGTCTGAAATCACTTCTGTCTCATATTGCCTTAATTTGCTTCCAAAATGATGGAAGTCGTCATCCCCAAAGATTTTTTTCCTTCAAACTTGGGTAGGGCCTATTACTCAAGTAAGACAGACTTAAGAGTACTGTTAACTACTTGCTACCAGCTAAAGGGTAAGATGACTTACATATGTGCAATCATGACAGAAGCAACTGCATATTTAAAACTGAAGAAGGAGATGCATTGTGCTGCTTATCCTGCTTGGCCATCAAGGTTTTCAGCTGCAATGGAACTATTGCATGAGTGGTGATGGGAGAGTCTTCCATTTAATTCATCGATATCAGAAAAAGTAGAGTGAAAAACTTCAAAAGCCTTGGGGGGGTGGGGGTGGGCAGAGGAGGGAGATCTTTTTAAACACAAGCAAAATTTTATAGATACATGTATTATACATAAAAGTTACTCTCTTTCCTCCTTGCTCTGTCCATAACATTCAAATAGACAAGAAATGGTTTCTTCGTGTTGAATGTTGAGAGCTGTTTCAACTCAGCTTCACCATCATGAATACAGAAAACCTGTGTGGTTCATAGCTGTTTAGGAGAGAATATTTTGGAGTTATTTGTCAGTCATCTATTTCTAGGGCCCACTTATGTTTATCAAAGATTTCAGTGAAATTTTATTAACCTAGTAACTCTGTTAATGACCTGTAGTTTGTTTTTTTTTTTTTTCTTTTTCCCCACAGTTCCAGTATGCTCTTGTGATTGATTTATTATTTGCAGGGGCTGTAGTAGTGGTGGGAGAAAGGGTGTTATTTAGAAACTAGCTCCAGAAGAAAAGTGTGTTTCCTCTTATTAAAACAAACTCCACAGTGCTGCTATTAGTGCTATTCCAACTGAGGCAGGTGAGGAGATTTAAACACAAAATTTGCTTTGATGCAAAGGTCATCCTTAAATTATGGAATTTGAATCTAAGCCCGTCCCGTCCTTCTTCTGAGACCCAATCACCTATTCTGCATTCTCACCTGTAGACTAAATTCATCTTCCAAATGTTTAAAGTTTGTTTTTTGAAGACTATCTGCTTCACTTACGGCAGAAGTGTACAGGTAGTCTGAGTGCTTAAAGCACTTTTCTCGTAAGAGGCTCCTCATGTAGACTGTGCATAGACGTCAGCTTTTGGGACACAGGGAGCCATAATCTGTGTTAGAAGACAGAGACATGTGAAATAAGTACATTTTTTCTACACATCTTTTGGTGCTGTTATTTTTTTTAATCTATCTATCTATCTACCTGTTAAAAAAAAATATATATTTTGTAAATTAATGCAAGCAAATAGTGATGAGTGCAGTTCTTTAGAATAGAAGCTAGTCTCCTAATGGCACGACAGCTCAGTGATCATACACCTGGATGCTGTTGTTCCAGACCCCTGATGCTATGTCTTTTGCACTGGAGAAATTGTTAGTTTAGCAGGATGCATATAGGAGTGTGTTTTGTTGATAGGGGTTTTGTTTATGTTTTTATTTAAAGCGTTTTTTCAACACACACTGATCTAGAATGGGTTTTTCCTATTGTGAGTGCCATAAATCAAAGCCAGATTTGTTGAAAAGCTATGAACTTTTTGAAATGCTTATAGAAGATGGCAGGGAAGTTAGATTAATATTTGAAACAAGTCACCAGTTTCATGCTTTTTCAAGTCAGTTCACTACTGATACTAATACCAGGTTAAAATACATTCAGAGGAAAGGAGGGCTCACTTGAGAGCATGTGTAAAGATAGGTGGTGTAATGTCAGATTTACACAATTTGAGAGTTTTGTGGTTCTAATTCATGATGGAAAGACAGTGAAGCAACATGTTGCTAGTAAAGTGTGAGTAGAAGGAAGAAACATTACTTTGAAAGGGTGAATGTCCCAGAGGACGTGCTAAAGCATCTAACCTTGAATCACTTCATATTTGCCTTGACAGAGCCCTAGAATAAAAATTAAATTTAAAATTGCTTTTTACACTTACAGTGACAGAACGTGGGTTCCTTCTCTCAAAATCTCAGGTTTTTTGCATATTAGCTTTTTGCTTAATCTCTTGTTGCAGTGTTCATACGGAAGTGAGACCAATCCATAGGTAGTTGGGAAAATTATTTTTTTATTGTTGAACTTTGCCCATGTAGTCTTTTGCAAAGAAAGCACAGATATAAATTTTTTTTTTTTTTTGCTTCTGCTGCTGCTCTCTAAGGAAGAAGAGTCACTTCTCTGTTTCCAGCTATGTCAGAGAGAAGATCCAGAAAGCAGCCAACAAGCTTCCTGCAAAATAAAGAATAAGCAAATGAAACCAAAGACTGATATTTCATTTCCCCTTCTTCCCCCAACATCTCAAGGAACTGCTGAGCACCGTATCTTACATTAAATTTAATCTGAGAGGCATATGATGCCTATAAATTGAAGGATTGCTTCCTATAGTGGAGCGGAAAACGTTATGCCAGACGGAAGAAAATTTAGCAAGTATGTGAGAGAATTGTTTTGCAAACTCCTTCTGTCATTCAACTGATACGTTGACCAAACAGCATCTGTGCTCCTGAGCAAGGAGGTTGTAAAGCAAGGAGGAGGAATCCCAGCTAATAGGAGTAGATGATGTCAGAGCCAAAGCCCTGCTGTTTCCCTAGCCTAGGTCCTTTGTTTAGGGGTGTGGCTCTGTGATGGGCTGTGCTTTAACTTAGCATCTCCCCCACACATCCCATACAGTCCAACCTCACCCTCATATTCTTATGAGGAGCATTGTCATGGTTGTCAAAAATCATTTATCTAACAAAATAGACAAGTGGGTTTGGTTTTTATTTTTTGTTTTTTGGTTGGTTGGTTGGTTGGTTGGTTTTTTTTTTGTAAGTCAGGAGACTGAACAGGAATCGCTGTTCATAAAACTTTTGTTCTGAAATCTGCTTGCTGGCCTTTTTGTTTATCAGATAAAATGGAATGTTACACATATGGCTATTACCTTTTTTTTTTCTACATTTACTGAAGATTTTAAAATCCAGAGAATAGGCATAATTCAGGCAATGGTAATGCAAGCCTTGACAAAACAGTACATTATCTTACTCCTGAATAATTTTAATTCATGTCTTCAAACTGTAATAATAGTGAACATGGCATTTGGCAGATTTAACATATTAATACTTCACTTCCTTGATGGTAAAAAGGTGCCTTTCTCTGAACAGGTTATAATTACTCATCCTTCAGTTAAAATTCCACTTGTCTATGCTTTAATATGAGGAAATAGGTGGGGACTTTCACTGTGGTTTGGAACTTTCACCTTTACTGGTTGGCTGCTAAACGGTGAAAACAGTTAAGAAAAACCTATAGCATACTGATTTAATCAGCTGCCTCTGGTTCTTCTTCAGACTAGTTTGTGAAGATGAAGTATGAGAATGAGCTGAGCTTGGGGTTTAGCTAGTCTTGGAAGAAGCTAGCTAGCTTTTCTGAGAATGTGATTAGTGGAAGAGTGTAAGTTTGTTGCTGGAGATTTCTTCAGTTTTGTTTTTTAAGAGTGGGTAAGGCCAGCTGGACCACAGTTGGTATCACAGATTTATAATGCAACACTTGTGATGGGAGGGAAGCTGGGAACTAGGCAAGCAAAAAAAAGAAGTTGAGCTTGAGCTGCATTGTATGTATTTGTGTGTAGGGCAGTCTCAGCCTCGCTTTTTATTCCTTTCATGTTCCATAACAGCTGTGCAATGCTGATGGTGAAACAGCCAAGGAGCGTTTTTGATGGCCACTGGAATTTTGGGTGGATTTAAATGTATTGTCAGTTATTCCATTCTAGTTTTGCTGGGTGTTTTAACATAGTGGTGAGAAATGGCAATGAAAATGTTCTGGAGCCATAATATGGATTAGATGAAGAACCAGGAGCAGTAAAGGGAGTAGACACTTGTGATTTGCTGGGGGAGTCCATGGCTGGGTGAAGTCTTCCCTTGCAGTCTTCCCTCTGCCTTGCCTGCCCCAGTTTAGATGGAAAAGCATCGACTTGATATGATTTTGAAAGAGAAAACCTCTTCCAGTGTGTTGGATGAAATATATTAATTATGGAGCAGCATAGAAAATAATAATGTAGAGCTTTGAAAGCAAATATTAATAACCTCATATCAATGCTTTTACCAAATTGACTAAACATTACTTTTTCTTAATGAAGTCTAACTATGAACCTAACACAGGTAGAAGGAGGTGTTTAGAAAATAGCTTGCTGGGGTGGAGAGGAAAAGGTGTGTGTGTTTTAGTGTGATGGGTGTTGTGGCTGTTTTTTTAAAGTCTCATTTCCACGTATCCTTAAGAATGGGAAGAAGCATCAAAAACTTCTGAGGAATGGAGAGAGAGAGAGAGAGAGAAATAAATGTTCCAGGCAGAGCGGGAATATGCAGCCAGGCCTTGCCTGCTGATGGATGGTTCTGCGCAGCCGTGCTACCTATGGAAGAGGCACGTGTACAGTTCCTCTGTTGAGGCTTTCCTGCTGCCCCTTAATGCCTCCCCACCTCCTGCAACAAGTGCTGCTTTCCAAGAGCTGGCATGGGCACCAATACCTACATCACTGCATGTAAATTAAATACATACTGTTCTTCTCACAGGTGGATTTGCTGAGTTCTCCAGCTCTTTTCCGGGTCTCTGTGAAGGAAAATCCACGCTCATCCCTACTTGCATTTCTCAACCCTGCCTACCTGTCTCCAACGTTGGCCCAACCAGAATCCTGCCTCATCTCTATCTTGGGTGCCAGCGGGATGTTCTCAACAAGGTGAGTGTTCTGGGTGCCATGTTGTTGACTTGGATGAGTATATAATCTCCATGTGCCTTTGTCCATGCTTCTATCTTGCTGCATCATTACAGCTCTAGAACATCTAACGTAGGTATTGATAATAGTTGTCTGTGCATAAGCTGTGGAAAGCTATGTGAAAACTAATGATACAGAGACTGTATAATTAATCCACTTGTCATGTAATATGAAACTTGGTCTCCTTTCTCCTTCATCTCAGAGATGATATGGTACACTCTTCAGTTACCTATCAACCAACAGCAAACTATCAAATCCACCCTTACAGCAGGTCAGGTACTTTCCTGACTGGTTTGTTTCGCCAGGTCTTGGATGTTAACACAATTATATTATAGTACGACAAAGGAAAATTGTCTATTTTTTAGTACTTCCTTCAAGTGCTGGAAAAAGTAGCACTTAAATACCATGAATTGTATAATGAAGGAATACTGCAAGCAAAGATTTGTGCATCGAATAAGATGTTCAGGCCTGGACAATCAGTGGGGTCATTAAAAATGAGCTTTTATGGTAGCACTGCACTAAGAAACTTTTACTCTTTCTAAATACATGTGCATTTAATAATTTCTGTTCCTAAAGAATAGCCCAGGATATTTTGTTATGCTGAAACTAGTCAGCAAAATCATCAAATCTAGCACTTGTAGGGTGCTGGACTATCAGATGTCTACAAGAGCTTGTCTCAAATTGCTACACGACTATATTCCTGCGTATATCCACTGTCATTTGCCTCCATAAGGAGACCAACTCAATTGCTTACAATCTGCATCTGGGGTCCCTTCACAAGGGAATTTTTATTACTTCTGCTGTACGTGCCCTCTTGCTTCCCGTGTTCTCTGACAGTCCTATTCATTAGTCAGATCTCCAACAGCCTTCGTAAGTTGGCATTAAATACATGGATGGGGGAGAGGGGAGGAGTGCTTCTCCCTAGCACATTGCCTTATTGTGTGCAAGGCTTATGCGTATGTTTTTTATCCATGGATAAAGCTTGAGATGGGACCTATCCTAATAGTCTTGTAATTGCATCAAATTCACATACTTTGACTGTTATCATATTTTTCACTGGTTTCTTCTACTTTTACTCCATCCCAGTCTGGCCATTAATAGGATATTTATTCACAATAAGGGGGGTTTTGACACACAAACAATCATGTAGGAGGTAATTGTGCTTTAATAGAGCACACGGAAAAATCTTCTATATGGAGGATAGTCAGCAGTCATTGAATTTACTTTGTCCTTTAAAATCTTCCATGTCTTTACTGCCAGGTAGCAAGTCAACAATTCAAACCTGATTAACTTATGATGGATGGCAAAGCAGTTTATTACTTTTCCTACCACAGAAGTAATTTATGGTCCCCAGACAAACGACAGCAGGAACGAAGTAATTACAAAAAAAAAAAAAAAAAAAATTCCTCTTCTTTAAATGGTAGAGTATTAGAAAGATGCTTTTATGCTGTTTGTTACAATACGTCACTGGCAAGTGCTATTCTAGGTTATGGTGGGAGAGAGGGGGCAACTTGTTCTCCAAGGGCCAAGGATGTGCTGCTTGTTTGGGATGTGACTGGAACGCCAGTGCTGTGGCTCTTATGTGGTGAATAATGCCACAGGGATGAAAGAGGCTGTTCCCTTGCCTTGCAGTAAATTGGTGCCTATGAATAGGCGTTGGGCACAGGCACGCTATGTGTGCCTCACCAGGAAAGGAATCCAAGTGGTAGCCGTGGTCAGGAATTTCATTATGGGGGCAGAGGAGGCTAAACCACAACTACTGCTGCTGAGCCCTGCGTGCGGCAGAGCCGTCTGCCCGAAGAGTTTAGACCTGGGGGTGGCTCTCTTGCCTATTCACCTACGATCCTGATACTGCTTCAGCATGTGTCAAAGGGAGCCCTGCAGCTGCAGATACTTTAGAATTAATGTAAGACCCTCCCCAGGAGTTGGTCAGATTTGTACTTCCTCACCTGTTCTTGTGAGTTACGATCAAGGATTACTGTGTTTCCCATTTTGTATGCAGAACCACAAAAACAACAGCACACAATCCACAGAAATCTCAGTAAGTTCTTAGTGCCTGGTGTCATCCTTGACAGTCAATCTTTTGGAAGTTCTTCCATTGATGACTGAAATACCTCTTAGATTTCCTACCCATTTTAGGACAAGTACACATCTTATGATTGCAGATCTACTTGTTTTTTTGTATCTTTTTCCTCTTACTTTGAACACACACAAGCAATGCTTTATTCTGAGCATGTCACTTGTTCACTGCACTGAAGTAGATCTTAGTGTCAGTAGCTTATTTCACCGCCTCAGTTTCAGCGAGTGCCTGTGGACAATCCAAAATGGCTTCCATCTTTAATACTGGTACCTTATTAACCTAAAGAAGCTGTAGGAACAAATTATGATTTCTACCCCTTACAATCCACTTGACGTTTTCCCAGCTGTCGGCAACTCTGAGTTTCCTGGGTTTAATCAGTTTCTTGATTTCAACTAAAAGTTAGCGGTAGTTAGACATCAGCACGTTAGAAACACAAACAACAGATCTCTGCTGCTCTCCCTTCAACACACTTCGCTTCTGGGGAAGCCTGGATCCTATGCGGGGGTGCTGAAGAGAGCAAAGAGGGTGACTCTTTACCAGACTGAGTGCCCAGAAATACCAATGCGTGGTAAGAAAGCTGGGAAGTAAAGAACATTCAAAAGGTGGGAGGGCGAGAAACAAAAACCAGGGATACATAGCAAAGTTCTGTCTCTGTTAGGACATTCCAGAAGCTGGTAAGTGGTTAAGCTTGCATGTTCTGGTTCAGTGGCCTTGCTGGTTTGTTGTCTCCTGGGCACAAGAAGTCAGCTTTCTGTTAAGATTAGGATCGTTTTTGTTTTTAATTCAAGTCTAGATTTTTTAAAATAGTTTTCTGAAAAATTCTAGTAAGATTCCCAAAACTATTAAGATATAGTTGTATACATTGACCTTATTTTTTGCCTTCAAATGCTATCCCGTGATTCCATCCATTGACCAGACATATTTATTTCTCTATAATTAAGTCTCAAAAACATCTGCAAAAAGAACTCTTAATCTGCACTACTGTTCGACCTGACAATTTAAAGATGTGATTTTTTCAGCACATTTTATCAAGATGAGCTTATCTTTTCATGATCTTTATAAGCTTACCTCTGAATGCACTGGTAGAGAAGTTCTTGTCTTGTTGCAGGACAATCTGTGTTCATGACCTTCTAAGAATTCTAACACTATTCGCCACTAATACCTCTGCTGAAAATGCTTTATTTATGAAAGATATGCAAACACAAACACTTGGTTTGTGTCCTTTAGCAAAATTAATGACTACTTAAGAAAAGTCTTAGGAGATTTTTTTGTATTTTTGTTTTACAAATTTCTTTCTAAATGTTTAATTCTGAAAATGTTAATAATATTTTTTTGCAGTGTTGAAATACTAAAAAACTCATAAAAGATCTTTGTAAAAGTTCTAACAGAAAAGTTTGTGTCAGTTTTTGGGTCTCAGTGCGATATACTGTGGTTATCTCAGTGTGATATATTGGTGGTATTGAAAGAGGGTACTTACTTTTACAGAAGATCTTTGTTGCTCTTTGTGAAAGAGAGGCAAACTAAATTCTAACTATGCAGGAGTGACAGTGTCCTTTCTGAAAGTTTAACAGGAAAAAATCTGTGGTGTTGTTATGGGCATGAATGAGCCTCCTACTTGCATCTCATGTTTTGTACCAGCATTTAAACTGTAAAACTTTCTGCTTTGCTACTTACATAACTATTCTCTTTCTTTTCTTCCAGACCTGGATTTTATTTCCTGTAACAAAATAACATTTTAGGGTACCATTAATTTTCAGATTAAACAAGTCATAAAATGTAAATAAGCTGACAAAAGAGCATTTACCTTCTTTTCACAAAGTTGTTAGTATTAGGATTTCTGGATCTTCCTCCGATCGTAATTCACGTCTTCCTCTTGGGTGCCTTACAATGAAGGCACTGTTATAGTTATTATATTGGAGTGTGTTGCACAGGGAATGATTGATACTTTAGAACAGAAGGAAGCATAACTTCTTTCTTTAGCCTTACTCTCAAAGACAAGCACTAACACATTTTTGGGTGTTTTTTTGGCTTGGAGATTTCAGACTTGGCGCCTGCAGCCTTCTCATTCCCATTTGAATAATCAATTCCACATCAAAAACCTTGCATAACTGTGGAATCGTGATGGTTGGACTGTGTGGCCCACCAGTGCTTATGCTTTAAAAGAAATAATAAAGTTTTCTATTCTTCTTCTAAACTCATCAGCCTGCCCTTAGCTATATTCTGAACAAACATGCATCATGGCAGTCCATTTGGTAGTGCTACCTTCATCACCTCCCTCCTTTGTACATGATAATGTTCATGTCCCTGCATGTACTACTTTTGTACCTGCTCTTCCAGTTGTTCCTCGCTCACCTTCAAGCAGCGACAACAGTAGGTGAGCTGGTTTGGGGCCAGTATTTCAACGTAGTGATCTAAAGCAAGATACTTATTTTACAGGAGTTGATGCTGAAGAACTGGGGATCCTAGAAGGAGACAGCTGTGTGGCCCAGGACAGTGAGGCAGAGGGGATGGGGGGGGTGTCTCCCTTGCACATGTAAGATACTGCAGGCCTGGCGGTAGCTAGTGACCTGTGCCAAGAACCCCATTCCCAATACCTTCCCTCTCTGGATAATTCCAAATATTCCCCTACTTCCGTATAGCAATCCTGCTTCTAAAGTTTTAGGTCTGTGGGGGTGTGAGAGCTAAATACATCAAAGGAGGGCGCGACGGAGTTGGCTGCGAAAGGCATGCAGGGCTGAAGGGAGCTTGCTGGTTGAGTTGGGGAGATGTGAAAAAAAGGAGAGGGGGGAAATCTGTGACATGTTGGAATTCACTGTCATTGATGGGAAGCTGAGCTTTACTGGGAGCGTGACCTTAGGAAATTAGCAGGGTAAGAAGCAGTAAGGTTGAGAACTTATTTTGACACATCCAGCCGTTTTTTGGTTTGGGGTTTTTTTTTGGCCATTGCTGCAAATTGTATTTCTGATGATTTGCTCTGTGAGTAATTGGTCATCTCCTGCTCCCCTTGGATGGGTATATTTATGATATAATCTGTGTTCATTAGTTTAAGATGCCTCCACCTTCAGGCACCTCTGAATGTGCTGATGTGAGGGACTTCAGATGAAAGTTTGGAGGAGCAGCTCATTTTGCTCCAGGCAACAAAATTCAGCTTGTTAGCAGAAATTAATGTAAATCCCCTGTTTATAACCGTTACTGGCTGGACTTCATGCACTTTCCTCTGCAAATGACTGATGTGGATTCCCTACTCCCCTGCAGTCCTTTATTCTCACTGAACATTTAATTTGTGCATGCATATATGTGTGTATGTTCATCCCTTTTACATGCACACTAACATATGTGTGGTGTACCTGTGTACTCAACATCACGTTATTTAGGCTGCTCTGATTTGAACAAGATAGAGTTCTGGCTCTTCAGCTAGGTAGCCATATCCTTGTTTCTCCTTGCCAAAATATGTTCATGGTTGCAGAAAAAAATACGTATGGGGAAGAAGCAACCATTTGGCTTCATGATTATATTTTCATCTTGGTAGATCTCTAGTTGAATTCTGCAGTGTAAGAATTCGTTCTTGCCACTGTTCCCGTTGATTGACATAACTTTTCTTTTTTATATAATTGCTATAAAAGCAAAGGGATTAAAATCAGATTTTTTTTGGCTTTTTTTTCTGTTTCAGTTTAATTTCAGACATTAGTTTCCATAGAAATCTGGCCAAAAGCTCTCCAGTGTTTGTGTTCAGTGTAGCTACTGTCCAAGCATAGTACTGCATGTCGCTTACTGCCAAATCATATCTGAACTAGAAAAGTTGTTTGATCAGTATTACTCCAACCTGCCTAATGGCTTTTCTGTGTCAGGATGCTTACTTGCAGGAGACTGGATGGTTTCGTGAGAGCCTTCTCTAGTTCTGTAGTACTTGTTTCACACGTTTTGGCACTAAGGTACTTGCGGCATCAGATACTGCTTTGCACAACTCTGAATACAAAGAGTATGGCAAGGTGCAGAAAAGAGGTGTCTTTATTTGCAATCGTGAAAATTGACTTATTTAAAAAGCCCAGTTGACTCTTGGAGTCTCTTTGCTTGTTGCTGTGATAATCTGCGATGCAAGAGGACTAAAGACTTGGAAAACTGAAGTATGAGCAACTAAATTGTAAACCACAAAGAGTAACTCCTATAAAACTAACAGTTAGTGCTGTGTGAAAATGGTCTAATTCAAGGTATTCAGCTCTTACATAGCTCTTTCTCTCAAGGTTTTGAGTGAGTTTTGCATGTTGCCTTAGAAACAAGGAAGTCCCGGACACTTTAAGAGGTGACTGCAGGAGGCATCCGTTTCCTTTCATATTTCTCGCCACTGTCTGTGATGGGGAAACCTCAGTCTTAGATAAGTGATCTAGAAAACACGTATTCGGGTCAGCAAACTACTGGTTGCGTTGTCAGCTTGCACGGTGAGAATGTAAACCAAAGCAGCAAAGCACCCATTCGCTTGGAGGTGATGCTTCAGAGTAGCAGAAGATATTCTACCATTAGTTCTGTTCTTTGTTAACTTTGTTTTTATGGGCTTTGCCATCCATATATTGTTTAGACACACTGGATGTCTCATGAAAAGTTGTCTGAAGAACTAAAAGCTGATGAGTTGTCTTTTTCACAAAAGAATGCCTCTAATACAGCTAGAGCAGTTCCAACACAAATTTCAGTTTGGTTTTTAGCTTTGTAATGTGCCAAAGGTACCATTTGACTTCTCTAGCCTTACTTAATCTTTCTCTCTTTCATAGGAGCTGATGCAGCAGAATGATATTGGCTACGTACTGAATGCCAGCAATACTTGTCCAAAGCCTGATTTTATTCCAGAATCCCATTTCCTGAGAGTGCCTGTGAATGACAGCTTTTGTGAGAAAATTTTGCCTTGGTTGGATAAATCAGTCGATTTTATAGGTGAGAAGAAAATTTAAATTCTCTCTCTAAACCAGTTGCTGGATTCCTTTGTGTGTCTGCCTTGCTGTTTTGGCTGGGGAAGACCTGAATGCTTTCTGGGTGGTATGAAAATACCCTAAGGATCTATGTACATGATCACCATCACTTTATAAACACAGACGCAAAATAACATGGGGAGATTCTGCCATTGCACGTTCCAGCACTTACGGAACAAAGACGCTTTTAAAGAGCACAACTCTGCTTTCTGGCAACCTGGTAGATGCCTGATATATGTCTGCAGAGAGTGAATGAGAAAATTGGACATACGGTCCTGTCTTTAGCTTTGAGAGGTGAGCTAACCAAATCTGAACTGGCCAGATCGTTCCACCATGAATGCTTGCTTTTTACACGCGTATAAAATTAGAAACAATCACCTTTCCCAGACATCTAAATAGGGTTGTTTATGTGCACATTAAAATGTGGTATGCTGTAACTGCAGTATGTTTCCTGTGTAGTCGCACGCTTTTTCTATACTCAATGCTATACAGTGCTAGAGAAAATAAGTGATTTTTGTTTAAAGCTTCCGTGAGATTTGCAATTAGCAGTTAATTTGGAAGTTTTGAACAATTTTAAGTAACATTGCTTTCTTTACAAACTTTTCATCGTGGTATAATGCTGCTGAGTTTGACACTTGCCAATTTCTTTGCTATGTAGAAAAAGCAAAAGCATCAAATGGCCATGTGTTAGTGCACTGTTTAGCTGGAATATCTCGCTCTGCCACAATCGCTATTGCATATATCATGAAGAGAATGGATATGTCCTTAGATGAAGCTTACAGGTAAGGAGGAAATTTCCCTTCGTTCTAATTCTTGTTCCTGTTGGCTTGTTTTTAAGGTGAATGCTGAAAGGTTATATGACCAAGGGTAGAAGCAGGCATGTTATTTTATCTGGTAGCTCAGCGGCTTCTGCACACTCTTGTTTTAAACGTAGGCTTCCTCCACAAACAAATTACTGGTGTTGTGTAGGCATCACACAGCTAATACTAATTGCCCACCTGCAAAACGCTGATGTTGGTCTTTGCTCGAAGTAGGCAAATATATTGTTTATTAAACGTGTGTGTATGTACATGCATATACACACACAGAGCTGTAGCACGCATGTAACAATATCTTGTAAGTCAGAGAGAGAATGGAATGGATAGGGTTAAAGAAAGAGAACTGAGGATATTTATAATCACGCTTATGACAAATGCTAGGCTGGATCTGTCGACTGCAGTGTGGTATTTGGTAATGCTCTCAAAGAACTGCCTGCAGGTGAAATGTCTAGGAATTAAGAAAGCTTCTTTGTTGCTATTAAAGTCAACTAAAAACTCTGAGAGAAAGTATTTTGCAGTATCAGCGTTTTGTGGCATTAGGGAATTTTTGTGGAGACCCCCTTCCCTCCCCCCCACCTTTTTAACCTTTCAAATCCCTTTTTTTCTATACTTGGATTGTGAATGCTTTACTGCATTCCGGGTGGCTTGGTTACAGTTTACCACAACTTTTGTGTTTCCTTTAACAAACTGCTTCGTTGTTTTGTACAGAAAATTATGGTTTTCTTTTTTGATGGGCTTTATAGGCTCATTGGGGCAGCTGACGCGTGGCTGTGACATGCGTTGTGCAGAAGCAATTTGAACAGTTGCACTGGAGCAGGTGGAGAGGAGTATCTTCCAAATCACTAGTGTGTTTGTTACCACCATCTCTGAAACACTGAGGAGGACAGAGGGATGAACATCTGATATTTCTTTGTGGAGCATGATTTCCATGGGTCTCTTTCTTTTTTTTAAGATGATGAATGTAATTATGTATGCAGTGAAAAAAGTGCATGTAAGAGGTGCCTGAAGTACCTCGAAATTGCCTTTAGAAAATTTCCACAGTTTCTTACTAGAGCCCGCTGGCAGCTTGGTCTTGTGCAGTAATTTCAACATGTATGGTGAAACAGTTTTGATTAAGAGGCATAGCTAAAAACTCAGCTATGCAGGTATAGATAATATGGATGAATTAGTGGATGCGGATGGATACTGTGCAAGACATGAGCTTGAGTCACTGAAAAAACCTGTCTGGTTTCAAGCGGCAGTGGTCTGGAGGTTAGAGCTGTAGGGTACTAAATACTTGTAAAATGCACACGCTTCAGGGGACTTCTGAAGTGCTGCTTCTAAATTCCTCCATGAAATCTCTGCATTAACTTCTAGTTTGTTTCTTAACCAGGAGTGTGAAGTGAGTGTGCAAGATTAATCATCCTGGCCTTTTTCACTTTGCACTGTAGATACAGAACAACTACTGTGAAATTTAGATGATATTTTGCTGTATTTCCTTTGATACGGCTTAGTGAGAACCATCTGCAGCACATTTCACTCATTGGTTTGGGAATTGTTGTTGGCAAAGCTTGAAAGAAAAACACTTCGAGTTAATGAAAGTCATTAGATAAAATGTTTGTCTGACACTATTAGAAAAATAAAAAGGTGGCACTGTTACTTGAAGTGAAAGATCTAAGGAAATAAGTGTTTTTAATCTTTTCTCTTGTATAATGAACTGTACAGGGGAAATAAACATCAAAATTAAATGTTATGCATGTTTTCCAACTGGAAAATACTGGAGTACAGCAAACTTACTTTCTTGTACCATTTTCATTTTTTAAAAAGCTAGTTTTAAATTTAGGACTGCCCACTATTTTAGAGTGAGATGAGGAGAAAGTGAAAGGAACAGAGTTTTGGAGAGGCTGCCAGAACAAATTGCAATGTTGACCAGAAGAATCTTGCTTTAAATAACTAGCCCCCTAACAAGTACAACTAGCTTTGACTGGACAAAAATGGACAAAGACTGTATGAATTCCTGTGAGAGAGTTGCTTACACTGGAATAAAAGCCCCCGGATTAAATGCTAAGAGATCAAGCTAAAGCATCTCTCCTGAGCAGACTTACTAGTTTTCTCCATGTGACAGTGCTGCCCTACTTGGTGGAAGTTTACACAATCAGTTTGTGCAACCTGATACTCCAGGTCATCGTGTCAACTGCTGTTTGCTGTTTGGCAGCTAAAAAAAAAAAAAAAAAAAAACCTGACATAAAAAAAATGCAATTTTTTTTTAATATTTTTCATGTGCTTGCCTGCCTTTTGTGCGAGGGCATACGCATATACACAAGTACACCTTTGAATTCTTCTCATGCTGTTTTTAATGACTGCACACTCACCTTCTGTACATATCCCCAGAGAGATTTTATTTTTGATACATTGTACGTGTGTGTGTGTGTACTAGATTTAGCTCTTCAAGGTTTCTTCCCTTGTTAATTCCCTTGTCATCAGCTTCATCAGAGTTCCAGGAACGTTGTTTAAAAAAAACAAGAGGAGGAGGGATTTAGGCAGCTTTCTGGTTTACAGCCTGTAAAAAGCAGACTGTGCTTATTTAGCTCTATTGCAAATGAGACGGGTAGGAAGAATGCTTTTGTATTTAGCTTTGAAGTGTATGACACGACTTCTAATACTTAAGTCTTTCATATGGTTAGAGTCCTGGTTCGGGAAAACATTCTAAGTATGCACTGCACCTTCTCCATGTTCAACCGAGTATGTAAGAGTGTGCGTGCTTAGATTGGCATGTGCAGGCGAGTCAGGCTGCTTCCTGCAGCACTCAGAACAGGTTAAGGCTTCCAGTGATTTGGTAATGCCGTTGCCCTTTACTGCTGAACACCTACAGGGCTCGAGAGAATGTTTTTGCTTTAATGCTGCATTTGTTCCTGTCCGTTTTGCTGTTTGCTGAGCATACCAGTGCTCAGGACCAGCGTAGGGTGGAAATCGCTGACGTTTGCTGTATGAGGTCAGCATCTGTCAGAGCTCTTTGTCTCGCCTGACAAAGATAAACAGGGTAGGAAGCGCCGGCTGCAGTACCAGCAGCATGAGGGAGGTGAAAGGAACATGGGGTTTCATCCCTCTGAGCGGTGGGGGAAGGTGGACTGCCTTCTGCAGCGCAGGGGAGGCCAGAGCCCTGATGCTGTTCTTGCAGAACTTGAGGAGCCCTTAACTCTGGTCAGAAACTGAGGTAGCAGAGATCCCACGGGTAAGGTAATATAAGGAAAACGATCACACAAACCTTGTTGCGGACATCGTAAAGAGGTAAAAAGAACACTTTCTTCTCCCTTTTTTAGCTGCCTTTAAGCAAGCTACACAGCATTATCTTGTTTAAAAGCTGCTTTTTTTTTCGTTTCCCCCATACATGTTTTCTGTGCTTGACTGAACCTCAGTCCAGTCTTCCTGATAAGTTAAGATCAGGCTGTTAGCATTCACAACAATCGCTCTGGGGTTCTCTCAGGTCTGAACAGCAGGTCCTTAAATCAATTCCTGTTTTCTCTGTCCCCTCCTTCCAGATTTGTGAAAGAAAAAAGGCCAACCATTTCTCCCAACTTCAACTTTCTGGGCCAGCTGTTGGACTTTGAGAAGAAGATCAAGAACCAGAGCGGTCAGCCTGGACATTTTAGTAAGCTGAAACTTCTGCATTTGGAAAAAACCAGCGAGCACGTGCTGGTCCCGGAAGGTGGGCAGAGCAGCCTCTCCGCTAACCAGCTCTGCGTTACCGCTACCTCCGAGAGGGTGGAGCAGGCGCTGGCGGAGCGGGGCAGCACGCCCCGCGGCCACCCGTCCCCCCTGGAGGACGGCCCACTGGTGCAGGGCATAAACGGGCTGCACGTCTCCCTCGATAAGGTGGAAGACAGCAGCCGCCTGAAGCGCTCCTTTTCTTTGGACATCAAATCTGTATCGTACTCGGCAAGCAGCAACTGCGTGACCGCAGCGGTTCAGGGCTTTGCCTCCTCCGAAGACACCCTGGAATACTACAAACACACGACTGCTTTAGAGGGCAGCAGCAAGCTGTGTCAGTTCTCCCCTGTCCAGGAGGTCTCGGAGCAGACCCCAGAAACGAGCCCCGACAAAGAGGAAGCGAACCCTCCCAAGAAGCCCCCGAGCACCTGGCAGCTGGACAGCCAGAGCAAACGGCAGCACCTGGGGAGAGGCGGCGGCGGTGCCCCCACGCAGCGGTCGCTGCTCTACCCCCTCCACCGCAGCGGGAGCGTGGAAGACAACTACCGAACGAACTTCTTGTTCGGTCTCTCCACCAGCCAGCAGCATTTGGCGAAGTCTGCGGCTGGGCTGGGCCTCAAAGGCTGGCACTCGGACATCCTGGCTCCTCAGACGTCGGCCGCGTCCCTTACCAACAGCTGGTATTTTGCAGCCGAGTCCTCGCATTTCTACTCTGCCTCCGCCGTCTACGGGAACAGCGCTGCTTACTCTGCCTACAGCTGCAGCCAGCTGCCCACGGGCTGCGACCAAGCCTGCGCGGTGCGCAGGAGGGCAAAGCAGGGTGATCGAGGTGACTCCCGGCGGAGCTGGCATGAGGAGAGCTCTTTCGAGAAGCAGTTTAAGCGCAGGAGCTGTCAGATGGAGTTTGGGGAGAGCATCATGTCGGACAACAGATCCAGAGAAGAACTGGGGAAAGTAGGCAGTCAGTCGAGCTTTTCAGGCAGCATGGAAATCATTGAAGTGTCTTGAGGGGCAGCAGGCTTGTGTGACTGTGTCGGACTTGCTTCCCCCCTCCAGGCTGCTTCCCCAGCATTTGAGAGGTCCCTGTAAATCTGAAGAGAAAAAACTTCATGCAAAAAAGGCGGGGGGAGGAAAGAAATGTGAGGCTTCAGTGTGAACGCAGGGACTAGATTAATACAGCAAAGAAATGACAAGTGAGCATCTGCCCGAGGAGACTAAGTGCACTGCTGGGTTTTTCTCCTCCCCTTTTCCTGGAGAAGGGCAAAACATTTCAAAGATCTTTCCCTGACAGAGGGAGCAATTATATGCAATGGATTGCACATCCTTTCAGTGGTTTTAAAAAGGAAGCTCTCTTGGTATCAAACCCTTTCTCTGGTTCCACTGAAACATGCTTTGACCTATCCAACCTAGTTTTGTTCTCCCCTCCTCATGCCCCACGTCTTCACCGGTGCACCTTAGCCCTGACACTGAGCCAACCTCTGGAGGGAGACCTTTTTCCCGTAAGAAAGGAGACCGGGAGCGATTCCAAAGGAAGTAGGGACTGGTTACAGCAAGGCTGGTGTGAACACACAGTTCAGACCAATGTAAATACTGGTGTAACTATTGTTCTAATGGATAGGCTTTAGGTGACTTGCTAGAGAGCTGCTTCAGAGAAGAAAAAAAAAAAAAAAAACCCCAGTACCTCAAAAATATAAAAAAATAAACTAGGGCTTTATGGCTGCCAGATGCTGGTAGTCAGTTCATAAGCAATGTGAACAAGTAACGACTAGCCACATTTGATTGTTATTTTTTTTTTTTTTTAAAGCTGTCTACGCACAAGTGTTTCAGTTGGCTCAGCAGCAATTCTTAAAAAAGACGAATGAACCATACTTAATGACTGTTTCCCCAAGTCTTTTGAAACATAAAATAAACAGTATTTGTATTTTTAATATTAAGCTGGCTTCTGGGAGAGGGGCAGCTGCTTTGGCTTTTAAGCTATAATGGAGTGGTTAATACTTAGGGTTACGTGCAAGAGAAGTGCCTGGTACAATACCGCAACATTCTTTTTTTGCCAAATGACAATTCACTAGATGGCTCTTGAAGGCTTTTTTTTTTTTTTTTTTGAGTTTTGGTTTTATTCTTTTTTAACGCTAAAAATGAGTTGGGCTTTTGTCCTTAACTGAGCAGTACCGCTAAGGAACTGCTCTTCATCCATGGTTCCAGTCGTGCGTGGGGTAGGGGCAATTCGGGTGGTGTTTTTTTTCCCACCTGAACACCCTACCCAAACCATGGGGAGACAGAAGCTTCTCACTCCTTTTGCTGACTTCATCTTGAGGGAGAGAAGTCTGGCTGGCTGTCCGAGGAAAACGGGGACCCCCCAGCATCCCGTCTCTCGGCGCGGGGCGAAAGAAAGGGGCTTTGAGAAGAGGCAGCTTTAGTGGGAAGCCCGCTCACCTCCTGCACTCGCGGCTCCAGAGGAACTTGGTCCTGGCCCTCGTCCTCTGTCCCAGCGCCGGCGCTTGGCCCTCCCCGCGTGCCCCAGCGCAAGGGGCTGTCCCGTCACGGGGGTCGGGGCACAGCCCTTCTTGGGGTGGCTGCCCCTGCAGCTCCCCCTCCGTGCGGTGCCGCGGCTCACGCTGTTTTACGGGCGCGCGTTGCCGCGACAGGTTTGTTTTTTTTTTTTTTGGGTCAGTGAGGGGGGTACCAGAGGCACAGCGTAAAGCTTCGTCCTTCCCGCTTCCACGGGAGCGGCACACGCCTTGTCTCGCTCTTCCCCAGCACCCCCAACACCTGTGTCAGGGGGGGAACTAGATTGTTTTGTCCCATTTCAGTGCAGGCAGCTGAAAAATTGTGAATCGCATGGAACAAATAACCCCTGGCCAACAGCTTTAAAAAAAAATGCGTCAGTGGCAAACTGAAGCCCTAATTCAAGTCAGCAGCTTGGGTTATGTTTGTTTTGGTTTTTTTTTTTTTTTACTGTAAGTTTAGCTAGTTTGTGACTCAAATCTCAGGTTTTACTATATTGAGAAGTGGAGAAGATTTTGTCTTTGTTTCGTTTTGTGGCTAGGATGTGACTTTAATTTCCTACAGCGGACTGTTGAAAATAGCACTGAAAGCTACAGCATTAATTAACTCGATCCTAAAAACTGCAAAAAGGCACAGAGAGGCAGCAGCCCCAGGAGTAACTGAACCCAGAGGCTGTGTTTGCGCTGCGTGTAGGAGATGCTGGAAGAAGGGGTAGTCTGGGCAAGGGGCAGGTTGGCACCACACTGGAAAGCACGTCAGGTCTTGGCTCGTCATTGAACGCACGGCCACTCGTCTCTGTTTACACATCAGGTGAAAGGGATTACCATTGCAACAACGATCTCCAGCGCGTACGCGCACTCTGTGTGTGTACGTACCTGCGGAAACAGTTCAGCAGTGCTCCTCTCAGCCAGATTTCAGTAACAGCCCCTGTCTTTGATTTAAATCAGTTAATGGGGGTTAACACAAATCAATCCCTAGAGGCAGAAACAGAATCTTCCTGTCTTTTGTGCTCACTCACGCCTGTGTTCTCCCCTTCTCTCTATACATACAGCTACGTACGTTTGGGTTTTGTTCGGTTAATCGCCTTCCGAGGAGCTGAAATCTGGTTTTCTCATGATTTTCCAATATGCTATAGTCACTGAATGAATCAAAGCTGTAGGCTTAGTATTTTTAGGGGACAGGTTCCTGTAGGAGGAAGCCTTAACCCCAGGTCCTGCACAGGGTGGTACCCTGTCTCCTATCTGAACAATGCTGGAAACGGTTTGTAAGCGTTCGGAAAGCGAAGTGGACGATGTGAGGGGGGAAATGCATACATGTTCAATATGACTAGAATGTTGTTTGGTGTATGGCAAGCTGGTTAAATGGTTCAGAGGGATGTGAGTTTCTCATCTTGTTGCGTCATGAGCATTACCTGTATGTTATGATGAAATAAAATCAGAAATGGTACCTGTTTATATAGAACGGCTGAGGAAGGAGCCTGTGTGCCTTGACCTGCCTGCAGCAGGACCCGCTGCCCAGCACCCCGGACGGGTAGGGGACTGGTCCTTCCCGTACGTGCCCCTCCCTGCAGATGTGTGCTGGTTAAGGAATGGCAGAGACGGGGTAGCTTCGGAGCGCCTGCCGCAGGCGGCGGCGATTTTACAGCGCCGGTAACTGTTTAGGCCTCTTACCTGTTCCCGTTTCCCCGCTGCGCTTCTGCTCCCCTGAGCAGCAACAGTGGCACTTCCCTGCATTAACATCTTACACTCTCTGATACTGCTGTGAGTAAACTGGTCCCAGGGCAGCCGTGATAGTCTTTCTGAAGGGAGTATTTCAAATTAAGTTACCTAGAATGAAGCCCATGGGTTTTTTTCCTTGCCTCCCATACTTCTTATTTGAAGAAGAATTTAATTACTTGTTTAAATACTTGGTTTGACTGATTCTGCCAGTCCTGAACCATTGAGTGACTTCAGATTGATGAGGGAGGGGCATTGCCCCTCATTGCTCTGTCAGAGAACAGTGTATACAAATGTGGTATATATTAAAATTAAATCCTGCAGTAGAATATAGCTGGCTACAGTTCTATCCTTAGATAGCAAAGCCTACAAGTTTGTGTAATGGCAACTGCAAACTCAGGTGCAATAACAGAAGCTTTTTTTTTTTTTTTTTTAAAGAGAGAATTTCAAAGCATAATCCCAGAAAGGGAAATGCAAAATCTTGGACCTCTCTAGGAGAGGCCGTACCATCAGCCAGAGCACAAGGAACAACCTGCGTGAGCTTCTGTGCTTCCTTTCTACAAACAAGCGGTACCAGCTCTTGCACAGAAAGCTTGCATCCATGCACAGTGGAACAAGAACCACGGCACAATACTAGACCCTAAATGGCATCAGCCTGTTAGCCAACAAACCAGGTTGACCTGATAGTCAGTTCTAAGATGTCCCTGTTCAGGCTTCCCTCACCCTACTCCAAAGCCCACTCCTGATCCCAGTAGGTCAGACTAGCTCCGTTCCCTCAAGTTCTGTTTTTTGAAGCAGGTGCTTCACTTTCACCACTCCTCCTTTTGCCTGCTTTGCAGGACTTGCTCTGCTCTTGTTCCCTTCATCCCTCCACTCACTCTTAGCCCTGCCAACAGGCAGCTCTGTGAAGAGACACTCTTACCCCTGCTCCAGTCAACAGCTGAGAGGCAACTGAAATGTGTCTAATGACTGGCATTACTGGGAAGAGGTCCCTGAGGTCACCAGGCTCTTGCTGTAGCCACAATTTATGTTCCCAGAGTGAAGTGGACTGGAAAGAGGGCAAACCTCCCCCGCAGCATGGATCAGGTAGCCCCACTTTTGAGGGGGCTGGGGAAATAAGGAAGTGAATAAAAACGTGGCAGTTACGTGAGCTGCTGTTTTTCCTAACTGTATGTTCATGGGTTAGCTGCTCATTACAAGCACAAATTATAATAAAGCGGTGGTATCAGAAGCCCAGAACAGCGGCCAGGTGCTTCTCCTGGCGACAGCACTGGAGTCCGAATAAGGCCATTACTGCTCCTTTTTAACTCTGAAATTACGGCGATTCAGCCAAACTCCCCTACCTGGGTATTTTAATTAGCCACACCCTGAGTACACGGGGACCAACCTAGCTGTCCTGTTACTTGTTCTTAAAATTTCTGAGATAAAAGTTGAGTTATTCTGGTACTTTCAGACATTATAGCATTATAATACAGTACCACCATTATATTATATACACTAAACCACACCTGGGAATTGAGGTAGAAGGACGGTGTTCATAACACATTGGCTTAGCCTGGCCTCTCCCTTCGCACCAGGCCTACAGAGAACTGCGTGGCCCTTAGGCCCAAAGGGCTCCTCTGAGGCAAAGTGAAATGTTTCTGCAGCATTAAGACTTCAGCTCTTGTGCACTTCGGGAGCTATTTCTAGTTATCCTGCGGTACCCACCCCTCTGGGAAGGGGCTGCTTGCTTGGCCTATAAAATGCTGTAAAACAGACTTGTAGGGCACTGCCCTGCGGGGAGGGACTGCTTGCTTGGAGGTGTGGGTTTCAGCTGCTGCTCGCGGGGACCCCCACCCAGCGCCAGTGCTGTACAAAGCCACAGTGTGATCTGTTACAGGCAGTGAAGCTGGGGCATCAGATCAATTAAAAACACAAGCCAAAAAGCCCCTGTACATTCACATCTTTGTTCAGCACCCCCTGTGCAGTAGGTGAGAGTCCACCACCGCTTTGCATTCCCAATGCCAGGAGAACGGCATTCTGCTGCAGGTACCTTCACTTACTCTCCCCTGAACCACTGATTTTCTAAGTTGATTAGAATAACCTGTTTCTTGCAGGAAGCAGCTCCATCTCAGGATGTTCTCAAAGCTGGGCTTCCCCAAGCTCACCAGGTGCCCGGGAGTTGTTCACAGCACCCCCGCAGGCTCCTGCCACCTCCCGGGAGAGGAAGCCCACGCACAGTGCTCACCAGGGGCTTTGCAGAGGACAGGGCTGTTAATGCCTGGGCACAACCAGCTCCCCAAAACCAGGCAGGGAATCTCTTTTGCTAGGGTACAGTTGTAAGCTGCACTGGGAAGTTCTCTCAAATCCATCTCTGTATAGAGTAGCTGTTCACATACCCAACGAGGAGTCACGTTTTGACAAAATCTATAGCCATCCTCCTTTATTTCTGGTGGTTACTGTCCTGTGGTAGGCCACTGTATTCCATTACCTTCACAGCTTCCCTCAGGCCAGTGCTCACCATCTCATCTGTTAAAATACAAAGCTCCTAAAAAGACAAAAAGGGTTATTTTAGGCAGCTGACATTAAGAATTGCCCTCTGAATGCTTCTCTTCGCCGCCGCAGGTGCGCTGAGCGTGCCCATCACCTCAGCCCTGCCCTGGCTTTGGGGACCACGGGCCAGCCGTTCCCCTTCCTGTGGATCAGGCTGTCCCGTGCAGACTCACGTTACGAAGAAGTTAAAACCAAACTGTGGCAGCTGAAAGCAAGCCTACAGCCCCCCGAGAGGTACCGCACACCACTAGAAAAGAGGCTGAAACTTCGGCTAAAAGCGCAAACTGACCCGTTCAGGGATGTGTGAAGAATCTGTAGGAGAGGATGAGCAGCCGGCAGGGCAGAGGCCACCCTGCCCAAGGGTGCCCAGCTCTCATTCCGTCTGTGATCCGGCAAAGAATTGATGTAAAGCATCTGTCAGGACATGGTCTCTTTTTGACAGGGAGGTAAGTGTGGGGGGAAAAAAAAAAAAAAAATGAAATGAGAAATACTTTGCTGCTGCTCCTGGTTAGTCTTCCCGCTAAATCTTAGGAAAGCTGCCGGGTGCACACAAGGTGCGTGTGCCCTAACAAGCCAGGCAGAGTCTCTCACCCCACAAGTGCTTTGCGTAAGACTGCGGCTCCCCTGAGCAAGTGTCCACCGGTCCCAGACCCTCCTCTTTACCCGAGAGGCACCCGCACAGAAAAGGCAGCTGAACTACGGTCCCCCCCCACTGCTGCGAGTCACGCGCATCGCTGAAGCACATCATTTAAACTGCACGTCAGTGCCACCGGAATTGGGACAGCATCCAAAAAAACCCAACATTTATTTTCATTCCGGGACACGGTCCCAGGGCAGAGGCAGCCCCAGAGGAGCTGAAACCGGGCATCTCCAGGGCATGAAGGTGGGTTGTGTGTACAGCACGGGTACGACCTCCCACGCTAAAGCGTCTGCAATGTCCGTAGACATCGCAGCAAGAAGCGGTGGTGGTGCGCTGCAAATGAATAATAAAGCAAGGCAATCAGAGAAACAACACACTTGGCAAAGACTGATACCACACATTTTAATGCTGGAGCTGTGGAACACATAGCATGACGGGAGCCGAAAGCGGAGCAAGTGGGCAAACAGGATAAGCACCCGTTAGCCAAGGAGCCCTGAGCCACAAGGCTGGTAACCAAAATACACTCCGGCAGCTCGGCAGTTACAATAGTACCTCAGGAACCCACTGGCACGCAGCCTGAGAGAGAGAGGGGCTAGCTCACACAGTGACTGGGCCTGCAAAAATGTGCATTTCTACTCTTTCTGTGTAAAAGCTTAGAGGAGGGGAAAACACACTTTAAATATTTATTTAAATATATTTAATTTAAAATACATATGTTTTAAAAACCCCAAAAACTATTTTCTGTCCCCTTCACCAGATCTCCACAGCAATTGCCCTGCACACAGGTTGGCACTTTAGCACCCTGTCAACGCATTAAATTACAAAAACAACAGAAACAACAAAGCAAACCTCTTCTGCGTGCCTAGCGCACTGACCAGCGTAGGATGCAACAGGCACCAGCACAGAGGGAGGAGCGCAACAGCAGAGTCAGGGGAAGAACCACAACAGACCCAGAGCCTCACCCTGTTCTCCAGCTTTTCAAAAGGTTGCATATCAAGAAGCTTAAAGTCTGTACCCCAGACCACACGCCACCTCAGAAAGCAGAAAAGGGCAGAAATGTTTGTCTTCAGCGGAGCAGCCCAGATGGTTTTGTAGAAGAGAGAACAGCTAGTACATTCGTGAGAGATACCTGAGGCCTTCTCCAACAGCGTTTGGCTTGGAAAAGGAAATTCGTAAGCAGAAAGGTTCAAATCTCCTGCTACAGAGCGGGAAAGGGAGTAAAGCAACAGTCTCACCTTGATCGCCACCCGCATCCAAGATGGAGCGGATGGCAGCGCACAGAGCAAAGCGAAGGAGCAGCAGCCAAGCAACAAACAGCAGCTCAAGGAGATGTGGCAGGAAATGTCTTCCCCTCGGTGAGGAGTGCAAAGACGTACAGTTAATGAAACCAGTGACAAGGTGTTAAGTAAAACTGTAAACCATCGTTTGAGAACAGTCAGAGGGTGCACCTTACACCACTTCATCACCTGTGGAGTGACGGTGATGACCCGCGCGCTTTGGAAGGGGTCAGCCTTCACATTTCAGCTCTCTTTCTAGTTAAGCTATTAACATTTTTCACAACTTCCCCTTGCTGCTCAGAAAGCTCAAGCTGGGAGTCCCAGCAGCACATCCACAAGCTTAAAGCCCAGCAATCATAGGAACAAACATTTTCCCCCATTATCAGCCCCATGTCTGGGTGTTTTACAGCAAATAAGGAAGGAACTGATTTGCAGCCCTCACTCCTGCAGCTTTCAGATAGGAATGCTATTCGCTTGCCCTCATTAGCACCGCAAGGAGCAATGCTTTGATCTGACACTTAATAGCATGAGGCCAAGTGTCTAGAAGCTTTACAGCATCTGCAGCCTAGCCCCTGCCTTGAGATCCAATACCAGGATCTTCCCACCAGTACAGGCTGCCAGCACGCCCGCGTGCGGGATATCCACGGGCCCGTCTGGCAGACGGCTGAATGTCGCGCATTCTAAGCTTCCAGACAGCATCATCTGGACGAGGGGGACAAAAACGCCTGCAGCCGCTATTTAAAGCTGCTGCGAATTCTGGTGCGTCGGATGGCGGGAGGCAGAGACATATTATTCCATGATGGACGGTGAGGACCCTCGCGGGCCTGGCCGTGACAAGCAGGTTTTCCTGGGTTGTTAGGTCTCGTGCAAGCTGTTACCAAACCAAGCGTAAAATACTGCAGGACGCAAGAGGAAGGATGGAAGCCTGATGTTATATCCTGTGCAACACAGAGCCAGCTACACCTGAGTGTGTACAACTACGTAACAATGCTGGGGTGGAAGCAGCAGACAAGGAGGCCCACTCTGCTGCTGCCTTTAGTAGAAAAATCTCCTGCCGAGTTCCTTGCTGTCTCTGAAGCAGTCAATCGCTCTTCCCAGGGCATCATTCCAGGGAGCTTCATTTCTACAGGACTCTGCTTCCATAAGTGTTCAGTGGGCCCTGGGCTCCAATCACCACTATGGTTCAGATACACATCTAAGTCGGCAGCAGTTTGCATCACAAAAATTCACCCTGGGCTACACGGCCTTTGGGAATGCAACAAGAGAACGGCCTGTTGCTTCCTGCCACCAGGCAATAATTAATACTTTCAAAAACCTACTGCGTTCTTATTCCCAAAGGCTCAGAGACAATCTTTTGCTGATCAAGTACTCTTAAGTACTAAGAGGTATCCAAGCAAGTCGCCTCGCCTTGTGCTGTACTGGCGGATGGGTCGTCGCTGACTCTCTCAAAGAGGGCTGTCCTCACCACTGGAATTATGCTCCTGATACACGGCCACCCTTGGAGTTCACGGGCACGCTTCAGCGTCCTGGGACTCGCATAACACACACAGACCTACCCCTGACCCAGCAAACCCAGGGCTCCTCACTCCTGGTTTCACTCTCCTGCTGCTGCAGACAGGAGCTGCCACGCAATGGCGACACTGGCTGTTAAACCCTCTTTCGAGATCCACAAATATTTTTACAGCAGCGTGTAAAATATCCCCGCCCCCCCCCCCCCCGTTTATAACAGGGAGAGGCCAAAGCTCGGAGAGGTGCTGCAAATCGCCTGCAGGCAGCAGAGCAGTGGCAGGGTTGGGAACCAACCCACCCCAGCAGGTGGGGGGGGGGGGGGGGGGGCACCCCGCCTGCCTTCCAGCCGGGCCCTCGGCCTGGGGGGAGGCAAGAACATCCTGCTGCCTCTGGAGCCGTTCGCTGAGCGCGGCCCCAAAGGGCCCTGTGGTTTCAGTCATTAAACACCATGCTCGGGCAAGCTCTGGGCATGACGGCAGTGAAGCCCGTGCAAAGACCCGAAGGACTTCTCGTGTCTCCCCCCCTCGGACTCCCATGTGCTTGAAGGTAAAGAAACAACGGCATCCCTCTGGTAGAAAAGACAGCACCAAGGTAACTGGAGTGTCCCAATAAAAATAAATAAATAAAAGGAAAACCAACCAACCAACAAAAAACAAAAGACACCTCGTGTCCAGCTTTGGGATGCAAAGTGAGCAGGCCAGTGCCAGTGCCTGTCAGAATCACTGTGCAAGGTGAGGGACACGAAATGCCACCACGGGGACGTTGCCAGGGCGAGGGGGAGAGGAACGCTAAGGCTTGCTTAACATTACCAGACGTACGTATTTGGAACAGTTATTCCTTTACCGCCTCATAAATTAGTAAGCCCATAAAAACAGGAGCCTCGAGGAGGACATGCCAAAACCCTGCCATGCAAACCATGTTAATTATGATAATAGTCAGATTTTAATAAGCCAGTTCCTGGCTCCCGCACTTTCACCTATAAAACACACGTATTTCCAACGCCAGGGGATCTCAGAAATACCTGCCAGACACCTAATCGTCTAACCCCAGTGGCACAAAAACCATGTTAGAGGGTTCATCGCACCCCGTATCCCTTTGAATTTCTCTAGTGAAAGAAAAAAAAACAAAACAAAAAAACAAAAAACCAACACAGATGAAAGAAAAACTCCTCCTCTGTAAACCCCAATCTAGTCACAGCAATGAAACAAATGTCTCGGTGCAGGCTGTGGTGGTAGTAAAGGAGACGGGAGGGCAAGAGGAGGGAGATGAAAGGACAGTATATCATCTTCTCCAGACGACGGGAGCGGGGAGCTCCCGGATTCCTGGCTGCGCAGTTCTGGCAGCTGAGGCTGCTCTTCCTGCGATGCCCCGGCAGGGAGTCAGGCAGCACCGCCGGCCGCTCGACCATCCGCCAGGCCGGCCCGCTGGGAGCGCGCCTGTGCTGAACACCGGAGCACGGACGGTGCGGAGGGGGAGCCTGCGGGATCAGCTAGGACTTCAGCTCCCGGTCGGGTTTCATGCTGAAGGGCTCCAGCCTCTCGCTCTCCGGCAGCATGCTGTTCAGCCGCTCCATCAGCGGGATCGTCTGGTCGATGCCCATCTGTATGCGGCGCAGGATGGCAGACATCTCATTGACCTTCTGGATCTGCTCCGCGTACTTGGCGTACTTCTTCTGGCGCTCCTGCATGAAGCTATAAAGAGTTTCCACAGAGAGGTCCATCTGTTTAAAAACAACAAGCAGAGCAAGGCGCGTTAGGCCAAGTGTTAGGGCAAGCCTTTCAGCACACAGTCTTTCCTAAAAGCAGCCAAGAAGCACCTTAGATGCCCCACTGGAGATACCAGCCAGGTACATAACCAGTTTCTCATGAAATGGCACGATTCACAGCTGCATACCAGGGAGGACACGTGACCATCCCAGTTCTACACCCAAACACTGAACATTTGATCTGGAAATTCCTTATATACAGGGTTGAAAGCCAACAGGCACTGCCAGGGATTTCCCAGTAAACCATACATTCATCCTCCAAGTTATCCAAACCCAGGGAACTCGTGTCCTCCGCCTACAACTGTAGTATATATTCAGTGAAAATCATTCATTTGCAAGCATTAAGCTCTACCATACTTGCCAGCGCTAATTTCATCAGCTTCGCCAGGTTACACTGCGACTAGGCCACGGCTGTTACTACCATCCTTGTCTGGAAAACCCCTGCCTTGAGAGAGAACCACAATGGATCGCTAGTGTCCCTAATTTCCCCGAATCCTAAAAATAAAAGTGTCATGAGTGAGCCCAGGAGAGACATTAAGTAAATCATCCATGTAATTAAACACGGCAAGTACCCAAACACGGCTTGAGCATGATGACAATGACAGGAACTGCAGCGCTATTCCTGCCATCGAGTGACGAAGGTAGCCTTTATAATTCACAGCCCAACTTTCTCTTCAGCCAGACCTGCAAACTCCAGGCGGGATCCAGCCGACAGCTGCTCGCGCCGCACGCCCGTGAGCCGAGCGGGACGCTTGAAGCTGTTTTGCACATTGTAAGACGTACCATATATTCTGAGTGCTTGGTAACAGGTCTGTGCTCGACAACCCCAGTCGTTCCAGCGCCCTGGCTCTTCATACTGGTGTGTCTGAGCAGTGGGTGAGCATCCTGCCACCCCGCTCTGTCCTCGTGGAAAGCAGTCCCCTCGCTTGGGACTCGGCGCACGCCCGCAGTGGCTGCCGGGCGAAGGGCAGGAGCGGACACACGCTCACCAGTTTTAGCCCACTGCCACCTCTTATCACTGTTTTTTTTTCCAAACGTCTCCCATCTGATTACCTCCAGAGGAAGGAGGTCACTGCTCGCGATGAAGCAGCTTCAGGGAGTCCCTGCTGAGAACTCCTGGTCTCCCGGGAAGCCTGGGTTCAGACAACATCCCTCACTTTAACTGAGTGAGAGAGTCAACCCCTTTGGAGGAGGACACTGACCATATCTGTCATCAGGGACAACGCAGATTTATCGGTGCAGTGCTAAAAAGCAAGCCGTGCTCGTGCTGACCAGCTCTGACTTACACAGCACTTCATCGGCAAGCGCATCCCTGAGGCAGAGCGCAGTGGTGCGGGGCTGCAGGGGAGAGCCTGAGGTCAGGGAGGACTGGGAGGGAACGGTGCAAACTGCCCGGGGCATCCCCCACGGAGGAGAGAAGTCCCACCAGACACGGGGCACTGCCGTCCCGCTGGCGGCAGCGGGGTTTGACACCGGGGGGAAAACCGGTGGAGCTGTGTTTGCTGACAAACGTCCCTTTCAAGCCCTGGGGAAGGGGTCGAGACAAAAACAGTCGGGCAAGAAAATATTTTATTGAGAAACCTAAGTTACAAACAGAATTGAAAACAAACACACAAGTTTCCGCTGAGCTGTTATGGGAATTAGGAAGCATTTTTTTTTTTTCCCCTATCACCTCCATCAGAGCTGGATACAGTACCAATTAACCTTTTATTTTGTCTGTATTTTCTAGCGCTCTCAGGCAGAATTCTTCCTCTTTGCCTCTGTGCTTTCCTGTGAATTCCTCCCTCCACGCTTTCATGCACAGGACAAAATAAAAACCAGCAGAGCAGGAAACTCCAAATAGAGTGGAAACAATTTAAGCCTACACAGGGGTTTCTATTAAAACTCCAGCTTAATAATTTAGTAGCTTGGCGCTAGCTCTGTAAATTGGAGTGTGTAAAAATCAGACCACCACCAGGTCTGCACGGGATGGAAGTAAATTCAATCCAGGTCCTAAAAACATCCTACCTAATGAGAGACAGTGCCACGAAGAGGCAGCCAGTTGGAAACCTACCAAAAGCTAGCATGCCTCATTAAACTGAGCAACATGGGGACTCAGGCAGAAACCTCCACTGGTGTCGAAGTTCTCCACAGGCAGGTTCTCCATGTGGCCTCACAGAGCTGCACAAGAGGCAAAGCTCACATCTACCAAGCTCTGAAACAACAACAAAAAAAAAAAAAAAAAAAAAAAAAAAAAGCCCCCGTTTCTCTCCATTCCAATAATTTCCATCTGTTGACTTTTAGGCTCCTTGTGTAAATACCAGTAATGTCCACTTACTAGAGGGGAACATGGGGAGAAGCTGAAGCTGACCTGCAGAACAAAGAAGAAATGGAGTGGCCTTCCAAGCTCTTAGCTACTTTTGGACACGTTCACAATGGCTATAAAAAAAAGCTGCTTCGCGAAAAAGAGAAAGGGTGGAAGTGAGCACTTCCTATGGTTTCCCTACACCTAGCATTCAAGTTCGCCTGCTGTGGGAGGCCATGGCAGCTGTGCAGCCAGCAACACGACAGGGAAGGCTGAAGTTGAGTAATTGTGAGGAAAGGTCAATTTTTACTCAGGCTGAATCTGTTTTTTTAACTAGTTAAAAAAAAAAAAAAAAAAAAAAAAACAACGCTGTGTGTTAACTCCTGTATATAAATGCCAATGCCTCTTTGCAGCTTTCCTTGAAGCGGGCCTAAATACATACTTACATCCTTCCTGCCTCCTCCCCCTCCAAGTGAGCTCCTCCAGTGCCAGACCTTGTGCTTTTACCCCTCCTAGCACGCAGTCCCATTCCTCTGGCACTCAGACAGGGCCTTCAGTTGCAGGACTCGGAGGGTCATCCCTACTTACCCACCACAGAGACTAAAACTGTCCTTTAGGAATCTTGCAATGGACAGGAAATGCACATAAGAATCTGCTTCATTCCCAACTATTTAATTCCATTCCGTAGCGATAAAAAGCACCTGGAGAAAGGGAGCTTAGGCAAAGGGTCTGCTCTCTTGCCCATAGCCAAGGCAGTCTATGCTTCTCAAGATACCCTCGAGGGTCAGAAGAGTGAATCTGCCTTCTCTGAGCAGCTCCCATCAACTCCCACCTCCCCGACACGAGGCCCTACCACATTCTCTTCTAGAAACCACTCAGGTCTCGGCATTCTTGCCCAACCTTGGCTGAGAAGCTCTCTGAGAAGCCCAGCAAGCTGCCTCAGGGCCAGCAGCTCTTCCACTGGCCCACAACCATCTGTGAGTGTTTCTTTGAGCCATTGTTTCTGCTCTGCTTGCTTTGAGCTTCCTACTACACCTGCCCACCACAGCTGCAGGCAATTCCCCCATTGGCAGGTCACCACCCTGTACCTATAAACCCTGACAGATGTGGAGCTGCCCTGTCACCAGCTCCTCGATGACTTCACCATTGAGGTTTCATCATCAACACCGAGTAAGCTATCATCATCCCAACCTTACAGGTATAGAAGGGTTTAGAGAATCAAAAGACTGGACCTGAAGCCTGTCAAGAAGCAACAGAACAAAAGCAGGGGGCAGAGCCCAGCACACAAGGTCGGCGTCCTAATTCTCATCAAAACAAGAGGTTCTGCCCAGCCTGGTTTCAAGAAAAAGAGACATCTTCTCAGTAAAGGGGTGAGAGCTACCAATGCCCATTTTATCTTTCCAGAATAATTCTTCCTGTTAAAGCAGCAAACCTGAGGCTGGACATGCCCAAAGTAGAAGACAGGAACTTTCCCCCTTCCTACATCAAAAAGGATGGAAGAGTTTCTTCAGTTTTTCTTTTAGGACTACAGTATCATAAAAATGGACAAACCTAAAACTCACTTTCCAGCATGGCATACTTTTTTTTTGTACAGCCAGTGACATTCAGAATTTGGTTCCGTTTCTATTTCAAAGCTCATGACTCCTCCGTGAAACAGTAGTAGCAGGACACTAATTTATGCCTCAGCTTCACATTTTAAACATGAAATGACATCTACTGGGCTTTTCTTTCTTCAAATGAAAACAGATTCATAATTACTTCCAACAACAGTGCAAGATGGATATTCCCCCACTTAAAAGGGCCCCAGCACAGCCCCTCCTGCTACACCATTCACACTGTCAACCAGGAAGGGCTCACAGGCTCCTCTGCATTACACAGGCCCATTTGTAACACCACACTGATGAAATACAAAAACAATTGAGTGTACTTTCAGACATCTCACACACCACAAATTCTTGCATTCATTTTAAAATTCTTCTTGGCCCACACTGCCAAGCAGAATAAAGACATTAATTTAGCCCACAAAAAGACTGAGGTCAGCACTGGATACCGCCCAATTCTTTTCAAGAGACCACACTGACAACAAACCACTGCCCCATATATACACCTCTTACCTGGCGTGGTTTTATACCACCTCTGTCATGGGCATGTAAGTGTCCCGAGCTCTCAGAAACAGTGGTCACATCTAGTTAGTTCAATGACTGAGACTGAAAATTGCAGCTAGACACATTTTCCCTGGTTGGAGAACATGCAAACGCAATCAGAAGTTCATTAAACTTGGCATCGAATTTCTAGAGAGGCACGGCTGACATTCGTAACAAAACAAATACATATTGTAAGAGGATGCTGTCATTCCCAGCTTCTCCACTCCCTCCCTAACGTGCCAATAAGGCAAGAAGATGTTTTGTTTCCCCCCCCCTCACTCAGCAACAGCATTCAGGAGCTCAGCTAGACATCCATTTGTCCTGTGTCCCTTTGCCCTAATGATTAGCCATCAGCTCCCATCGCCTGTGGCTGCCACTCAAAAAAACACAGCAGTTAAGGCACAATCCTTATTCCAGAAAGTTCACTTGCTAGAACAGCGCTCTGAGCACAAGCGGCCTTTCCCTTCATGCTGTCAGGTGTCTGGCTGGGGTTAAATGAACTCCTTCCTGCAGCTGCACAAAAACCA